CCAGGAACCAACCCTGTCTGGTCCCCCTGGTCTCTCGCCCCCACGCTCTGCCCCGAGGACCAATTACATAATGGCTTTGCCAAGAACCTGTGCTCCCCCCTCCCGTCACAGGTGAAACTTGAACATTGCCCCTTTGATATTTTCTCCCAATGAGCCTTCCCAGGCTTCTTGCCTTTTTAGGATGGAAACAAGCGCTCTGCTCTTATCCTCTTCATATTTATCAGCTCGGCTTACTTGGCAGAGTGGAAGAGTGAACGGGCATTGTATACATAAATATCATAAAATCCACAGAGGGCTGGCAAGCCCTAGTTCTTAATCCGGGCTCCGTCACTAACAATTTGCAACTCAAAGAAGTCACTCTTTTTCTGTTTTCTCTGTCTCTAAAGTAAATAAAGGATAACCCATTAGAAAAAAAATCAATTGGTGCTCTGAAGAAAGGAGGGGGTTTAGACAACACTCTAAGTTGAGCTGAAAATACGTTTCCCAAGTTTTTGCTAATGTTGGAAATGGACAAAGCCCGGTCTCCACCTCACCCCATCAGTTCTCAGCCAGAGTACTGTGAGGCCTCTTACCTGATCTCCACGCTCCATGCTCTTGTTGGTCCTTCTCCCCAGCTGTCACCTGCTGGGCACCCCTTACTCCTTGCCTTACCCTGCATGCACAGTTTCTAAGAGGGGCTCCAGCTTTGCGCCTCAGGGCCTTTGCTTATGCTCTTCCCTTTGTCTGGAACGCTCTTCCCCAGCTAGCATCAGGTATTTCCCTGTAAGGTCCCTGGAAACCCTCCCTGCGCACCAGACCTGAGCTCCTCGAGGGCACAACCCCAGTTATCTCCAGCATATAACCGGCCCTGCGCCAAGACAGACGGGAATGGGGCCGGCAAGGGCAAAACCGAAGGCTTTTCTCTACATCTCCAGGATGGGCAAAACCTGTCCCACAGATTTAGGTTAGAAGAATACTGTTTCCATCCTGGGCTCCCTTGAATCTGTGTTTACTGCCACCCGTTTGGGACAAGACATTTTTCCAATATTCTCTTTTTAAAAAACATAACATTTAAGCACCCAAATGAATGCATTTTTACGTAGATACTGACTGCAGGAGGTTACCTCTTGCCCCTGAGCCCTTGCAGAAGGTGGTCTAACCAAAGCACCTGTCTCAGCCTGGAAAACTGCAGGGCTGGCTCTCAGGGCAGAAGCGTCAGGGCAAGCCAATGCATCCGGGGACCACCTGCCTGGGGGCTGCCCCCCACACCATCCACATAGAAACGAGGAACTCTTCCATGGTGGGACCCCCGCAAAGGACTCAGCAGGGAAAGTACCTGAGGGTCATGGTCACATCATGTTTATGTTTCTGGACACTAGCTCCAAAACTCTACCCGCCCTTGAATCCCCGCCCTCCCGCTAGCCTGTGCATCCCTGCCCTCTTGGTGGGTGAATCCCAGCCATGTCAGCAAGCAGCAGGGACATTCAGCTTCATACAACCAGGGAGCAAACGCTGAGGCCAGGCCCCGGCCTCAAGCCACTCCTCAGAGAAGGAAGGCAGCCATGGAGGGCAGTGAGAACCTTCCCCTACAATCCTAAAGGAGATGGGGGAGCACCTGGCTCCTCTGCAGGTGGGAGACCCTGGCTGGGGTGGTTTTTGGGTTTCACTGGGGTTTAGAAGTCAAGGGTTGCTCAGCTTTCTCCTCTCTGGATTGTAGGTGATTCTAAGACAGGGTCCCATTTGGCGTGGCATTCCCTCCCCACCCCCCGCCCTGCTGCCCCGAGTCCATACACATGGGCTGTGCTCATCTTGAGTCCCAGTGCTGTGTGCCAGGGACAGAAAGTGGGAGATGGGCCACCACCGTCACATTTTGTCTCTGAGGGGCCGGTGAACGAACTAGTGGGTGCCAATCATTCTGCTCTCAAACCTTGCTGAAATGTCACCTCAGGAAGGTCTCTCCTGACCCCCTAATTCATACTGCCACTCCCCCTTCCCCAGCCACCCCCTCTGCGCTCTCCTGTTTTATCACCATCTGTTGGATGGTTACTTTCCCCACTTGACTGGACCTCTCTCTCTCACTCTGCTAGAGGGAGGGGAGGGATTTTTGTTTTACTCAGTGACAAATCCCCATTCCTAGAACAGGGAGCGACACGTAGTAGGTGTCCAGCAAATGTCGGATGAATACATCTGCAGACCTGGCGTTCGTTTCATAAATGTCTGCTCACTGAGAATGGGGTCTCCAGGCAAGTGAAGATACTAATAACCACTTACTAGATTCTCCAAGTGGTGTGGGGCACTGAGTCCATAAAAGGTACACTGTTTTATTGGCTCCCTGTTGTGTTTGCAGTAAAATCCAAATTCCTTCCAGAAATGGTCTCTGTCTGCTTCACTTCCTTCTGCTCTTCCCAGCACACACCAGACTCCACCTCCTGGACACTCTGAGCTAGTTCACACCTCAGGGCCTTTGCATTTGCTGTCCTTGCTGCCTGATGGCTCATCCCTCAGGGAGTCACATGGCTGTGGGGCCCTAGCTCGAATGTCACTTTTCCTTAGAGTCCTTCCTGCCCACCCAACCCAGTTACCCCAGCACCCATCACAGCTCTGCTTTATTATCTGCATAGCTCTTAGCAGGGTCTGAAATGACCTCGATCATTTATTTGATCATAGTACGTTTATTGGAGAATCTCGACCCCCTTACTTTCCCTAACTGCCTTATTCTGTCCCACTCTGTTGGGCCCCCCTTCCCCCTGGGTCTTCATGACAGCGAGATCCCACACAGTGCAGGTGCTCTTGCTCATTAGAACTCAGACCAGGCCAGTTCAAAACCCCATCCTGGCTCAGAGCTCCTCTGCAGAAGGGGCAGGAACGGGGAGCAAGGGCTTTGTCTTTTCTCTCTGGGGTGCCTCGGAGCAGAGGGGTCAGGGGTGGGCTACTTCTGTTTCCTCACACGCCTCTCTGGGTCTGCCTCTATCTGCCGCTGTCTCCGTGGAGATGGGTGTCTGGTCGTTTTGGGGCATAACCCCCACTTCAGCACTGCCAGCAGAATAGGCCCCAACCTTTTCCAGGTGGGAAGCAGCTCCCTTTGCCCATGATCCGTCTGGGGGGCCCACTGACTCTGCTCTATGTAGGTCCTTATATGAGCCCTCTGGGGGTCTTGCACAACTGAGTTGGGGGCACCTGCTCTTCCTGCCGGTGACACAGGCTTCTCCCCACCAGGTCCCCCTGGAGGAGGTACAACTCCAGGGCATGCGTGCTGAGCTCCCCCGAGGGCACCCTCACCACCCCATGCCGGCAGCCGGCACAAGGCTCCTGCACTCAGCGGGCACCCAGCAGGGGAGCGAGGCGCCAGCCTCTTGTTGGCAGTGCCCTCGGCCTCAGGAGCATTCTCTGGGGGTGGGGCAGGAGCTAGGGTGGCACCCACTCACCAACAGCCCATCTCCCCGCACTCCCTCCTCTCGACTGCTCAGCTTTCTTATACAAGGGGGGCGGTGAAGACCACAGGGGCCCGGGGGCTGGTTCCTGGCAGCAGGGCCAATTCTGCCCCAGGGAAGGTGTCTGGCCCCAGCCTTTTGGGAGCTCTTCGCATCTCTTTGTCCACAGTGGTGGGTCCCAGTAACCAATTCTGGGGCAGCTGGAAATGCCCCCTCCGTGGCTTCTTGGTTTTTTTGTAGGTTTCCCTTGCGGGCCACGTGACACGAGATCAGCACTGCTGGCGCCTAGAGAAATGCCTGACATACTGTAGGTCCTCGGGAACCACTGTCCAAAAGGATGACTCAGCAGGAAGACTGCTGGCTACTGTGAGCTCACGTAGAGAAATGACCAGAAGAGGAAGGGGCTGGACAGGGCCTGACGGGGTGATGCCATGTGCCCCCACCGATGCCTTTCACCGGTTAGCTTACTTCTCATGGTGGCCTCAAGGGTAGCCATCACCCTTCGCAGACGGAAAGACCTCCATCTGCTCCAGGCCAGGCCAAGCTTGGGGGGGTGGTGAGGCCCGAAGGGGCAGCGGCTGTGCACAGGGCTCTGGTGTCCGTGATCCTGGCTCTGCCACCCCTTAGCTCAGTTACTGGATTCTCTGACTCCGGTCCCTCATTTGTAGAAGCAGATGGTAAGCCTACATTGTATTAAAAAAAAAAAAAAAAACCTACATTGTAAGGCTTGAGTCAGCTCATATAGGTCATGTGCTTAGTTCAGGTAGAGACACGGCAGGTCGTGAACCACCCAGAGTAATCGTCATCATCATCACTATCACTGGGACAGACCCAGGTCTGTCCACCCCCGAAGCTGATGCTCTGCACGAAGCCCCCCGCCCCCACAAAGCGGGAGGGGGGATGCCTGACAGTGGGCAAGGGGGAAGCCCTTGGGGGCACCGGGGCCGAAAGAAGCTGAGGCCCCCAGCAACGGTGACCAGCGAGCGGGCTTTCCGTGCCAGACCGCGGCGCACAGCCCTGATGTAAAAGGCACTGAGGAACCTCTGTGGGTCTTTCATCAGGGGAGTGAAACGATGAAAGTGAGGTTTTAGGAAGATTAATCTGGCAGCAGGCGGGGGATGGAAGAGCCAAGCTTAGCGCTAAGAATCACGACTGCCGCCCGGCTCCGAGAGGCGGGTCATTAAAGGAAAGTGGCCTGGTTCTCGGCTCCCTGGGCACTCAGGGTTCCCGGCAGCTGCGAGGGGCTGGGCGCCGTACTCTGGAGGAGGCCCCGAGGGGGCCGGCAGAGGGCACTGTTTGGTCAGTGACTGTGGCCACCACAGGGGACAGAACAGGCAGCAAAGCCGAATCCGTCAGGAGGAGGCAGAGCTGTGGGCCCCTCAGCTGTGGGGCCAGTTCCGAGCTGAGCATCCCACCGTGGGCCACACTGTCGGGGCAGGCCCTTCGGGGACGGCAGGACCACCCACTCCGACAGGTGGCGGCCCCCGCAGGTGCCGGGTCACCAAGGTTCTGAGCACCGCCCTGGAACTGGCAGCCAAGGGGCAAGACGGAACCAGGGCCGCCCCGGCCAAGAACGGAAAGAGTGGCGGCTCCTACATCTTCTCATTTTATTTAAAGCTGTCAGGATACATTGGAAGCTGTCGAGGCAGTTCCAGCTTCTCTCCTCCCCGAGGAGCCCGAGTCCCCGCCCGCTCCCCAGTGGCGCTGTGCCGTCGCGGGGCACTGCCCGCCCCAGGTCCTCACAGCAGCGCCTGGAAAACCTCCACCTTCTCCCGGTACAGGTGGTGAAACTGCTTGGCCAGGCAGTAGAAGGGGGCTTCGTAGTTTTCCATCTCCTTCTGCAGAGGCAAGGTGAAGAAGCCCGTGGTGTTACCGCCTCCTCAGGACTCACGCTCCCCTCGCGTCAGGGGCCACACACGCTCGGCCTCCTTTGGCCCGCACACCAGTGCGGCTGGCTACTACCGCGCCCTTGGTACAAGGAGGAAACTGAGACATGGACAGGTTAAGTAACTTGCCAAAAGCCTCACGCCTGTCAGTGGTGGAGCTGGGTCTGCACCTGGATGTTTCTACAGAGCCTGGGCTTTCAGCCACGCTCGCCCCACGTGTGATGGGATGTTACAGGGAGACTCTTCTCGGCTTAGTTTTCACTAGGGCCCTCAAAGGTCAATGCAAAATAACAGATGGCAAGGACTCCCCCCGCCCCACTCTGGAGGGAGGGCCAGATGGGATGGGCCCACCCTGACCTCGAGTTGGGCAGAGCCGTGGCACACACCCCTGCCTGGGGAGCCTCTCCCTCACCTCGAGCTCATGGGAGGCTCCAAGAAAAACCCGAGGCCCAGGGGCTCAGGCCAGTGCTGGAGCCAGGCCTGGGGAACGTCGAGGTTGGCCCGGGGCTGGCGGTGTTGACGGCTGAGCCAGGAGAGCCAGCCTGGAGCTGCCCTAAAGGGACTCCGCAGGGACGGGCTCCAGGAGGGGGGATGGGCCCCAGCCAGAACCGAGGGCCAGGAATCAAGGCTGCAGGAGGGGAGAGGAGGGGTGACCTGTGAGCTGCAGGGGAAGGTTCTGCCAATGGGCCAGGGAGGGGGCATCGTGGAAGCACTCCCAGGGCGCCGGCTTGAGACACCTGGCAAGTCCAGAGGGGCTGCGGCAGGTCCCGGCCCAGCTGCCTGAGCTTCCCCCTGAGCTCCCTCTCCCGCAGGCGGCGGGCTGGGGGGGAGGGGAGGGGCAGGTACAGGACCAAGGACCGCCAGCCTGGCCCTGCCTCCCACAGCAGCTGTGGGAGGGGGCACTGACCGGAAGTGGTGAGGAGTTTTCAGGCACCCAGCACGGTGCATCTTCATAACTGAGATGAGTATTTTGTGACTAAAGGTGCCCAAAGGACTTCCTGTTCTCTGAGAGATTAGACAAGTTCTGGAACTGGCCCTAGGTGTTCTCTACGGGGTGGGAAGAACCGGCCCCCCAGGGTGAGCATGGCCAAGCTCTAGGGGAAGGAAAATGGTAGCCTCTCAACTCAGCTAGTGTTCTCTCACTCTCTGTGTGCACGTGTGTATATATATATTTTTTAAGTAAGTTGGCAGAAGAAAGAACCTGCTACTTTGAGCAGAGAGGCTCAAGCTGTGCACGCACAAGAAGCCGTCTTCAGACAATCTTTGGGAGCTGGCAAAAGGGCAGCCTTGACAAGAGGCAATAATATACCCCAGCAAAAGGGAAGGATTTCCAAACTGCAGAATGTCCTGAAGTCATCGAGCTCAGTGCCCTCGCTTTGCAGGTGAGCAGCCTGCGGCCCAGGGGTTCAGTGGCACAGCTGGGGTGCACAGAGCCCAGCCTAGGATTTGAGTTCCCCAACTGGAGAAGAGCAGCCTTTCCACCCTGCCAGCTGGGGGGACAGAAACACACGACAGAAACCGGTTCTCATGGAGAACGTTACCTGGACTTTCTCACAAGGGAAATGCCAAGAGGAAACAGGACAAGTTAGCCAAGAGCAGAAACAGAGGTGGCGCTGCTGAGGAACGAGGGGACAGTTTGTAGCGAGACGAGCACCTGCACTAAGTGCACGACTGCCGGGGACCATCAGCTCCCCAGTCAGACAGAAGAGAACTAACTCAGTCACATCCGCAAGGCACATTTGGTCGTACAGAACATAATGTCCCAGGCAACGCCAATGTCAATAGTAAAATGTTACCCTGGGGGCGCCTGGGTGGCTCAGTCGGTTGGGCATCTCTTGATTTCCGCTCAGGTCATGATCTCAGTGTTGTGGGATCGAGCCCTGTGTCAGGCTCTGCACTGGGCATGGAGCCTGCTTAAGATTCTCTTCCTCTCCCTCTGCCCCTTCCCCTCCTCCCTCTCTAAAAAAGAATGTTACACCAGTTGAAAGCATAGTTAAATAATGAGTAGACAGAGAATGAGGTCTGCATAGGACACACACGAGGATTTCCAAATGAATTTGAAAGCTCCTGAAAGCAAGATCTGGGGAGAACACAACATAAAAAGTAAAGAATTCAGTGGAGATGAGCCTTTATATATGCCATGGAGCACTCCTGAAGTAGCAGATGTAAACTGAATCATTTCCTGAATGCATTAAGAGAGTTTGCCAATGACAGGAATCCTTTTGTTAAATGACTAATCATAATCTCACTGACATACTATAGAGTACGTTTGCTTTGTGTGAAAAGATCCTTAGAACAGGCTCTCAGACTAGCGCTCAATCTGGCCTAGAATTCTGCCCCTGAGAGTCCCAAAGTAGGTTCTGTGGGAGGCCAGAGCTACTTCTAGAAGGTTCTCAAGCTTAGACCAGCTTTCTATTCCTGGTTTGGCTGCTCACAGGCTGGGCAACCAGAGAGAGCCACACATCCTTTCTGAGTCTGCTCGTCATCTGTAGGGCAGCGATAGCACTGGCTGTCTTGTAGGGCTGCTAGAAGCTTCAGCAGATAATGTCTGCAGATATGTAGCACACAGGAGGCACTCAACAACGGTCAGTTCCCTTCCCTCACCCTGCTGCAAGAGGAGTCCTCCCCACAGATCCTTCTTGAATTTGCTTGTGTTTAATACTGTCCTACAGTAATAAACTTTTTTTAACATGCTTAAAAAATGTTTTTTAATTTTTTGGTCTGAAAATGTCAAATATCAAGGGGTATTAGAAAGTCCAAGAAGGGGGGGCGCCTGGGTGACTCAGTCAGTTAAATGTCTGACTCCTGATTTTGGCTCAGGTCATGATCTCAGGGATCGAGGCCCCACATTGGGCTCTGCGCTCAGTGTGGAGTCTGCTTGGGATTCTCTCTTTTCCTCTTCCCCCCACTCACGCTCTCTTTCTCTCTAAAATAAATAAATAAAATCTTTAAAAAAGTCCAAGAGGATCTACAAAACCCGCCAAATAGCCAGAGCAATCCTGAGAAAGAAGAACAAAGTTGGAGGCATCACACGTCCTGATTTCAAACTATATTATAAAGTCATAGTCATCAAAACAGAATGGTCCTGGTATAAAAACAGACACAAAAGCCAAAGGAACAGAATTGAGATCCTAGAAATAAACCCCTGCCTACATGGGCAACTAGTATTTGACAAGGGAGCCAAGAATACTCAATGGAGAAAAGCTAACCTCTTTAATAAATGATGTTGGGAAAACCGGAGATTCATATGCACGAGAATGAAACTGGACCCCTATTTTATACCATTCATAAAAATTAACTCAGAATGGATTCAAGATTTGAACTTAAGACCTGAAACCATAAAACTCCTAGAAGAAAACATTGGGGAAAAGCTCTTGGACATGGAACTTGGCAACGATTTTATGGATATAACAGCAAAAAGCACAAGCAACACAAGCAAAAATCAATAAATGGGACTACATCAAACTAAAAGGCTTCCGCACAGTGAAAGAAACCTTCAACAAAATCAAAAAGGCAACCTAGGGAATGGGAGAAAATATCTGCAAACCACACATCTGAGAAGGGGTTAATATTCCAAATATGTAAGGAACTTGGGAAACTCCACAGCAAAAACATCGATAATCTGATTTAAAAAATGGGCAGAGGAGCGAATAGACATTTTTCCAAAACGGATATTCAGGCGGCCACCAGGCCCATGAAAAGGTGCTCGACACCACTCATCAGCAGGGAAATGCAAATCAAAACCACAATGAGCTGTCACCCCACACCTGTTAGGATGTCTATTACCCCAAGGACAAGAGATAACAAATGTCGGCGAGGATGTGTAGAAAAAGGGACCTTTGTGCACTGTTGGTGGGAATGCAAGCTGGTGCAGCTGCTGTGGAAAACCATATGGAGGTGCCTCACAATGTTAAAAACAGAGCTACGATATAATCTAGCAACTCCACATCTGGGTAAACAGCCAAAGGAAATGAAATCACTACCCTGAAGAGATACCCGCACCCCCACATTCACTGCAGCATTATTTGCAAAGGCCAAGACACAGGACCAACCGAAGTGTCCATCAACGGATGAATTAAAGACACGGTGGTTGGGATGCATTATGGACATGATGGACTAGTATTCAGCCACGAAAAGTGGGACAATCCGGCTATTTGTGACAATGTGGATGCCGCCTGAGGTTGTTATGCTTGGTGAGACCAGGCAGACAGAGAAAGAAATATACCGCATATTCTCACTTATACGTGGAACCTAAAAACACCCTAATCCTAGAAACACAAAGCAGACTGATGGTTGCCAGGGGTGGTGGGGGAGACGGGTGAAGGTGCGTCGAAGGGTGCCAAGTTCCAGTTTTGAGACGAGTGAGTTCTGGAGATGGAATGAAGAGCGAAGGGAGAAGGTCAGATGACCACGTGGGCCCCTCCCGGCCTGCAGGACCGCGGCTGCCGCATAGTCAGGAGGGCAGAGCCGGGCGCTAGGTGTCAAGGATTGGCTGCGTCTCAGGCAGCGTTGGGTGATATTTCCTTTTTCATTACAGCTTTCTTAACCGAGCTGCCAGTGGTGCTTCTGTTAGCATCATCAACTCGGGGGACTAGTTAACTTACACAGTTAATACCAAGTGCTTAACTGCAGCCTCCTCCAGCGTAATTTACTAGCGTAGCAACAAACACCTACACAGAATTGAAGCGCACAGCCGAGGGGCCTGTGATGACTAATGTGTTGGGGGTGGGCGTTAAGTTTTGACCTCTATCAAGAGTTCTGGGGACCATGGGGTACTGGGGTGGGGAGGCAATTTCACAAATATGAATGGAGGCAGAGGGAGTAGTAAAGTATGGCTTGATGTGGGTAGCACAGCATACGCTTGGCTCAAAGGCACGCCGCGTTATAAGAGGAGAAGCCGTCTGTCCCATAACCGTGAACTTTGCTAGTTTAGCATTTGTGATCATCGGGCCGGAGGCAAGAGCGACATCTATCTTTGTATAATCTATGAATACAAAACGTTTAAGTGACAATAGTATAAAGAAAATTGCTGGGGGAATGGTCATACATCAAAAGCAAACATTTATTGTTCACTATGTACCAGACTTTGTGCTGATGTTTTCCCATTTACCCTCTGACTGAATTCTCACATTTCTCACTCGATGAGGAATGTATTTTCTCATTCCCATTTTACAGGTGAGGAGGCTGAGGCACCAGCATGTTGATGAACACGCTAAGGGTCCCACAACTAGTTCTGCGCCTCACCCTCAGCCGCCAGTGTTGGCCTCTACCCGCTATACTGTCCCAAGAAAACACGCCACTTTTGGGGGATTTCAAAAAGTTCACATCCACACAGCAATTGAACAGCAACATTTGCCAAGTTTTGTAAATGCAACAATGGAAACGTCTGCAGCTTGAGTAGAAAACCACCTACCTCCAGGCTATTTCTTAACTAGCCCACTGACTCTTTCGGAGGGTCAAAGAATCAGGCCCGGGGGGCAGGGGGGCACAAGGCCAGGAGTGAGGTCCAAGTGACAACCATGGGTGTTTCTGGCTGGCAAGTCTCCCCAGCAACCCCGGGGACGGGCACTGCAGCCAGCGCGCTGGCCCCTGGGGCTACAATGGATGCTTCTGGGTTGCTCCTGCAGGGGGCAGCTTGTCACTTTACTCCCTTCTGGAAAGTCTGAGACGAGCGTGTCTGATTGGTGCAGATGGGGTCGCACGCCTGCACCTGGCTGTGGGGAGGCTGGGACCTAAAAGGTCTCGAACAGAGGAAGGGGGTACCCCAGAGCTGGACAGCCAGAATCGTGAGACAGCGCACTGAGGGTGGCAGTAGCAAATCCCGCTGGCTGTCCCCTTTCCCAAGGGCTCCTGCTGACTCTAAGGAGGGTACTTTGTGGCCGGGCATCACCCTGGGGCTGTGGCAAGGTGGGACAGGGAGCCAGGGATCATACTCCCTGGCTCAACTCTTCACTAGTCATGTGACCCTGGGCAAGTCACTTCACCTTCTCAACACGGAAATGGGAATTATGGGACCAGCGCCCAGGGTCACGGTACTGACTGGGGGACCCGTGAGATAATGCTCCAACGGCACTGTAACCCACCCTATCTCATGCGAATGCCAAGGGTCGCGACAGTCGAACCCGATGCACTTGTATTTCTCATTAATTGAGATACAACTACGTCGGCGCTGGCCGGCTGATCTGCTTTACTGTAAGTACGCGAGTGACTCTGCTATATCGAGAAGCATCTTGGACTAAGAATGTGCACGTCAGTTCCAAATGAGACTCTGCATATGGTGGGAGAACAACTCGATGCCCGTGAGGTCATGTGAAAGACCACTTCCAGCAGAGGCCCACTCCAGACTTGGCTCCGGAGTGAGCAGAGCTACTTACCACGGATGTTTCAAAACATTCCAGGCCTTGGCCCAGGGCCCATGCCTGGGCCTGAGCTGAATCCACCGCTCGTCTGCCGGCCAGGTCTGTCTTGTTCCCCACTAGCACACCTACTCGAAAGAAACAACCAGAGCATCGCATTTAACTGTGGCAGCCTGGGGAGATCGCTGGAGAGATAAAAGAGCAAGCACGCTAATTTTGAGGGGTATAAAACATTGTCGGGGAGAGGCCGCCCGATTCGAGGTGCTGAGCACGGGGGGGGGGCAGGGGGAGAGAGAGGGAGAGGCTCCAGGGCTCCTCCCCTACCCCCCCCCCCCCGCGGCGGGCTTTGCTTTTCACATGCAGCTTTTGCTCGGCCCTTTTTCCAGATTTCACGCAGATCTGTCTGCCCTGTCTCCTTCAGGCTGCAAGGCGAGGGCCAAATTTATGTGAGCATTTGCGATAATTCCTAGCACATGGAGCAAACGTTAAAAATGGTCATTAATACTAATCTAAGGACTGGGCTCAGAGTCAGGGACTCAGAGGTAATTTAGAGCCGTTCCCAGCTGCATCAGCTGCAGCTAATTTCTGAGCTCGTCTCTGGAGATCGCTTTCCCTGGTCTCTAATGAGGGGAATTTGTTGATCTCACATAGGGATGAAAAATAAACTGATTTAAAGCATTCAGAAGTGACAATAGGACTTGAATGTTTACTTGCGCCCCACATACAGGAGAAAATGAGGAATTCATCCCCGGGGCTAGCTTTCAGAAATAAAAACTCATTCATATCACAGCACCCTCCCCATATTATTCTCGAGTCTCCTCTCCACGCCCCTGCGGCAGGGAGGGGGGGCGGGCATCATTGTGCCCATTTTACAGACTCACAGAGGGGTGTGTGGTAACTCACTGAGGTTTCCGGGGCCGCTAAGAGGCAGAGTCACTGTACAATGCAGGCCACAATACTCTAAGCCGGGGACACCGCACCCCCTTTTCTACCCGTAGCCACCTCTGCAATGACCTTGAGCTCGTGAACTCGAGGGCAGAGGTGCTGGAAGTCCCACAGCCGACGGCAGCTCCTACCTGGGAGGGAGGTGTCTGGAATCTGTGACCGAGCCTTCTCCAGCCACTTGCTACAGTTGGTGAAGGACTGTTCGTTGGTCACGTCATAGACGAGACACAAGACGTTGGGACTCTCCCACTGTGCCAGGGGGACAGCATGAGCACATCAGTAACAGTGAAAGCGATTTCTAGGCTGGCCTTCTGAGGGAAGCGATGGGGGGGGGGGATGAAAAACTATAATGGGAATGGGAGTCAGGAACCTGTTCCCCCACAGGCACCAACGGGAGGGCTGGGCTGAAGGCAAAGGCAGGGGCTCACCTCTGCGCCAGGCTGCCGGCTGGGCAGTGTGCTATGCGTGGCTGAGAAACCTCCCAACTTTGCAGGGCTGGTCTCAATATCCCTACTGAGCTTAGAGAGGGTAACTGACTTGCCCAGATCAGACATGCTTTAAAAACGGGTAGGACTGAGGCTTTTCCTACCCAGAAATGCTTTTGCCTGCCACTGGTTTCATTCATTCATTCTCCGTCACATTCCTCTCGAGGGCCCCCTCGTATGCCAGTTATTATGTTTTTCTGCTTTGCAGGCCTAAAAGAGCATCCTTTCTTCCATTAGCCAGCCCCTGGAAGCTTGTTTGCTGGCATCTTCTTAATAAGGGCTGGCTTCTCAAAATGCAACGAGCACTTTCTGCTTCTCCTGCAGTGTATCAGCCCTAATCCAAACCAGACCGACAACTGGACAGGGCTCGCTGTCCCAATTAAGAAGCAGGGCTCTGCTCTCAGGGGCTGTGGCCTTCAGGGGCTGCTCAGAGTCCTGGGACATCCTGCCACATGGCACAAGGCCACAGGATGGCCCTGCTCAGAGGCTGAGATGCCTGTCCCAGTATACGAGGCTCTTGCCAGGCCCCAGTCGCCGGGAACCCCCATCCTGCACAATTACAGCCTGGTTTATTTCTGGTGTGTCAGTAACCTCCCACAGTGTGGGGAGGAATCCTTTTCCCTCCAGTTGTCCTTGGAAGGCTGGTCTAGGATTGGCTCTGGAGGGCTCACTGTACCCCAAGGCTATGCTGCCACTTGGACCGAACTGATGAACACGCCCCACCCCCGACATACACAGCTTCACTCTGCAGACTAACTCAAGAACTCTTGCTAGAACCACAATGACCTCTCCTTTGTGCATGCAGGGGACACCTCCTCCCCCTAGGCCTCAGTGAGAGGACCCAGGAGAGGCCAGGGATCAAGCTGGAGCCAGAGCAGGAACCCAGCGTCAGGGCCTGGCTGGGAGCAGGGGGTGGGCTGATCGGTACTGCTCTGGCTTGCCCAGACACACCCTTCTGCCCAGTAGGGCCTTGCCCAGTGAGAGGCCATGCACACAGCGGGCACGTTGTAAGCATCACAGATGGATGTGTGAAGCCAAGCCCATGAGAAATGACCGTCATTACATCTATTTCTCTTAGACAACAAAAAAGGGGCAGAAAAGAGTTTCTATTAAAATGTAGCCGTTCTTGGAAAGGCAGGGGAGGGCTCTGGAGGGCTCAAACCTTCTAATTAGCTCACTGGCCCAGATTAGCGGAACTGTTACCTTGGAAGGAACAGCGAGCTGGATCCTGTGAGGATGGCTGGGTGGGCCAGAGAAGCCCCGGGCGGCCGCACGCGCAGGTCCCAGAGCAAACCCCAGGCTGGGCCCAGGAGGTGGGAGGGGAAGGTGAGCCTTGCTATGGGGCCTCCAGGGTGCCCCCTAGAGGGGAAGGAAATGTTTGCTTCAGTCCTAGGAGGTTGGGGAGTGCTGACTGTGCACCATCCGGAGGGAGCTGGTGAAAGCAGGGGGGCCCAGAGCGCTGCGGGGACTGAGTCACACAGCTCGGGCACATTTGGAACCTGGCCATTCCAGAGCTGGGGGAGGGGAATCACGTGCACGAGCCGGTCCTCCTGGCCAAGGGGCCGTGAGTCCCAAGGCTGGGAGGACTGCCCCTGAAAGAATTCAGCCATGGTAGCTTCTCTTGGCAGCCAGACTGCAGTGACATTTCTGGGAGAGCATCGAAAGGGGAAACTCTGTGGTGGAAGGTGGTGGTTAGGAAAAAGATCGCACGCTACTTGCCAGTTTATCCAGCATTTCAGAAAACATCTCCTTGCCGGCAGAGTCAAAAATGAAGAGTTCCTAGAACCAGAAAGGCATGTCCCGAGAAAGTCTACATGCAGGGAAATCGCTGGCTGCGAGTCCCCGAGGTGACACTCGGCTCCCTGCAGACCTGTCTTGGGATGAGATACACCCATTTCCACAGAGCCTCTCTCTCTTCCCCGAGGCTCAGGGAAGATGATGGGGGAAAGGAAGGATCTCAAGAGCCAGAGACAGGCAGCGCAATGGTTCCCCACACCAACTAGCACTTTCTGTGCGGCAGCTCACCCCTCCTAACCCCGAGTGCAAAAATACCAGGAACAAGCTGACTTCCCACCTGGCAGAACAGAATGCTAAACAGGCTGACAAGTGCTCTGGTTTCCAAAAGGTCATTCTGCACTTTGTTAACCAAATTGATTTTCAAATCTTAAAACAATTCTTTTTAAAGCAGGTCACTGAGGAGGCCTGGAGAAGGCGTTTTAAAGTAGGACAGCCTGCCACCCTGCCCCGATGGTGGAGGGGAGCCTTCCTGCCCCTCGACCCAACTTCAGCCAGCCCATGCGAGGGCCCCTCCCCGATGTTGCTGCTCTGGGAAGTCCCCCCCCCCCTTGGCTCCCCTGGGCACTGGATGCCTCCTGGCTGGCTTCTGACCCCGGCACCCGCTGTCTGAAGGTCAGTGCTGTAACCTGCGCTCATTTCTGCCTGCATCAGGGGTACTTAAAGTTGTGTTTTTTCATGGATCTCTTTAAGAAGGTGGTGATTCTTCAACCTTCTCGCCAGGACGGTACTACAAACGTAATGCCTTGCAATTCAATTTCCAGAGTTATGGATTCCAAAAAAGGGACCCGGGTTAAGAACCCTGATACTACGCCAGTTCTGTGAGCACAGGGCCCCCATCCCTCTCTTCCTCCTCCCTCTCCTTCGGCCTGGGTCAGCGACGCTTCCCAAGTGCTCAGAAAAGCCTAGGCCAAATCCTTGCATCGCATCCCTCTTAGGGAGCATGACACTGACCATGGGGACTCTGGGCCCAGCTGGAGGAGCACTGAGCTCTCCGGGGTCAAGGGCACCACTTACCACACTGTCCCCCGTGTCAGAAACTGGCACCGTCTTCACCACCAAGTCCACCCCTGTCGTCTGCGGGGGGAAAACCGAGAGTGTGCACGTCAGAGGGTCCCAAGAGGCGTGTTGCAGGACACAACGAACACCCGATGCCCAGAAGGTACAAGCACTATGTTCTGGATTTGTTGTTGGTGAAGTCAGACAGGACCGACTAGCCTCGTCCAGCTCCCTGCCCACAAGGAGTGGTACATGGGGACCAAGCCGACCACCAGCCAGCCAGTCTGTTCCACAGACAGCCTTGTGCCCTGTGGCTTGTGGAAAAATGCTCTCCATGTGGCCATGCTCTCTTAGGGCTCCTTAAGAAATTCTGGAAAGTCACTCCCTCAGGGTTAGGGGACGGCTCCTGCTCTTTAAGCCTCGGCCAGCCCACGACTCCCACATCTCACCAGGGTGTAGTTCTTCTGGAAATGGGCCCCGTCACTGCGGAAGATCTGCGCCAGGGCGGTCTTGCCCACTGCTGGGTCTCCTGTGAGGTCAGAGAAGAAAATCATCACTGCCCTCCTGATCTGACTGGACAATCTCGCACTCCACAACGCTAGCTAGAAACCAGAAACTTCAATGACTTTTCAGAGAAAATGTACTTGATTCTCCTGGGGGCTTGTGTGAGGTGGCTGGTGGGGCCACGGGTCCAGGAGAGCAATCTTCAAAGCCTAGTCGCGTTTCTTCAAGGGTAATTCTTTCATCCAAAAGAACCGACCCAGAAGGTAACAGAGCTTAAGAGGGGATTTCGAGCACTAGAAACAGAACTAACATCTGCCACTGAACACACCCCATGGGGAAAAACTCTCACTTTCAAACTTGAATTTACTTTGAAGTCTTGAAGGTAAAGGGGTGTGACCAGGCTCAGTCTTATGGGGCTCACCTGCCTAACAACCAATTCGGGTTTAGAGCTTCCATACTTGGGTCCCTGCACGCTTCTTTTAGGACAGGGCGGGGTGGAAGTTGGGAGGGCTTCTGTATTTACAGGAAGCAAGAGATCAGGTGCTAAATTCATCAACCTGAAATCCATTTCCAAAAGATAACGTTCTGCTCCCGCCTTCCCTGTGCCTGAGACCACTGCGGATCCACCTTCCCAGGGGCCGCTCCTCGTCTATCCGCAACGGCCGCCGTTTCCTCCAGCTTGCCTTATACCTACGGGGGTTTATCTCCCTGGCCTTCCTTCATGAGTCCACAGCCCCATAAATTGGTATCTCCAAACTAAAGGTTTATGGCATAGTTTCAGTCTGAGATCTGGACCTTTCGCAAGACTGTCAGGAGCGATTTAATCTGGAGGTCCTCCCCTGCCCCCAAGGATGCTGCGGGCTCTCCATGCCCAGCCCTAATCCCTCTGTGCGCACCACCTTTCCCATGGATGGCTCTGCTTGGCCTCCTGTGACTCCACGCTGTTCTCATTTGCAAGATCTTCTGGGCCATGGGTCTGACACGGACGCTCCTTCAGAACACCTGTTTTCTGCTCTCTCACCCCCTGGCCCCTCAGCAAAACCGCCACTGCACTCGAGGGCCTCTGACTTGAATCCTTTGGTGTGATCACCTCACCTTCGCTGCTTACAGTCGGCCCCCATGCGCCTCTTCACTTGACTTCTCCACAGCCTGTTGCTCTGTTCACTTTTCAGTTTTGACTTTCCCCACCTATAATTTTCTCTTGAGAGACAATTACTTGACTACTTGTGGCATTTCATTTCCTGTGAACTCCTCCGGGACTGAGTGAGCTATTCAGTCTTGCTTTTCTATTTACCGTCATGACTTAGAAGGGAATCACACACGAGAGTCCCTCCTTCCCAGCCCCTACCCCCTACCATCACCGTCAATAACCTCATTTGGCAGATGAAGAGTCCGAGGCTCAGAGAAAGCTGGGTAACTGGCCCAGAATTCCAACATCTCACTCTCCCCGCCAGACCCCACTCCTCTCCTAGAGCTCGGGGACACTCCTGACCCATCTCTAACACTGCCCCCCAGGCCTCCATCACTGCAGCCTCGCCTGCCATCAGGGGCGACGGCGGGCTGGACTGTGGCCGGGTACCCATCCATCTCCAAACAAACAGAGTGTATTACTCTCCTTCTTGGGCTCTGACTGCATCCACCCTCCGGACTCCAATTTTGCTTCCGAATCCAGTTGGAAATTGGCTCTTCCTGCTCGTGAAATTCCCCACAGATTTATTTGTTCTAGTTAATTTCATAAATCTTTCTTCCGACTATCAGTCAGAGTCACCCACGCTTACGGAAAGCCTCGTGTGCCGGCTGAGGAGGGATCCAGCAGAGGGAAGAGAAATACTGATAAACACATTTGCGGAGCAACACGATGACAAGTGCAAAGGCAAATAGCACACGCTGAGAACCAAAGCGTCTGAGGGTGCATCGAGGAAAGAAACGAAGGAGCAGTTTCATCAGCGAGGCAGACTCCCCCGGGGCGGGACTGAGCCTGGGGTGACGGCAGGGAGGGGCACTGCTGGACAGACATGGTGACGCCTGCAAAGGCACGATGCAAGGTCACCTGTGACCTCCTAATTGCCAAATCTGATGGCTTTTTCTCAGTTCTCTTGCTCCTTGACATCTCTGAAGGATGAGTCAGCCCAAAGCAGCCCCCTCCTTCCCGAGCCCCCTGGCTCCGTGGCCCTGGTGTCCTGGCACTGGTCTGGTTCTCCCACCTCCGAAATGTGGGCACTCCTGTGGGTCTCTCCTTGGCCCTCTGCTCCCAGTTGCTGTCCCGTTTAGTCTCTTTCCCCTGTCACTTCTTGGGTCAGGATCTCTCTCCCATGTTTTGTCTATATCTCCAACAACCTGTGGATGGTTCCGCTAGAATGCTGGGCCTTCACCCAATCTGTTTGTTGACAGCCAGGCTCGTGTCGCACCCCCAGGTCCCAAGTGCTCTTGCTCACCCATCTCACTGGTTCTGCTTCCATCTCCATTTGCCCACACCTCCCAGCTGTACCCAGTCACCTCTGACCGCATGTCCCCACTCCTCCCACGCCCTGCGCTCTCCTCCCCACTCCTGATGTCCTTTGCTGAGTCTCAAGCCCGCGTGGCCTTTGTTGTCACTGCTGACACTGCACGAGTTACCTCATACCTCAACCTGGGCTCTGTGCCCTGCCTTGTGATGTGGGAGCAGGGACTCTGCAGACATGCGTCTCCTTTGCCAGGGGCTTCCTGTCCAGCTCTGCCAGTGCGAGTTCTAGAAAAAGACTGGCAGCTGGGAGAGGGGGGATGGGCTTGCCCCTTTCCCACCTGCCTGCTGTGTCCCTTAGCAGTACCCTGGCAATGGCCTTCACCCCAGCAGTAGATCGTAACTTCTCTCCAGTTTGTTTGTTTTGTATTCCCAGATATTTTGTATTTGTATTTCTATTATTCCCTCTCAGAGATGCCAGCATCGCGGGGCAGTGCCCCCTTCTCAGAGATCTGCATCGCGGCTCCCCAGGGCCCTCCTGAACTTTTGATGTCCCTTCATCCTCCCAGGCCTCCAGTACCTGTTTGATGGACATCCTGCATGAATTCTCACCGGTGTAGTACCTAAGGCAGGTTCTGCTTTTTTGCCTGGACCCTGACTTCTGTTGCACTGGTAGCAAGAATGGTCTCAAAACCCAGACCCTCAGCATGGCCTGGAATGGATTTGGTCATGTCTTGCCTGAACACGGGGCCCAGCTCCCTGCCAGTGGGGAATGGGGCTTAGTGATCCGTGGCATCACGTGGTGGGTGACCGAATTCTTGAGGTCCCATCCCAGCAGAGCTGTGCCCCCTCCTCAGGAATCTGGATCCCAGCTCTGTGGGCTTCTTCCTCAAGCCTCTGATAACCCAACCTCTATCTACCACTTCTGTGTCACCTCCATGTTTTCTTCTTGCTTTTCCAGTTCTCCTCCATTTGGAGAAATGGAACCGTTGAACCAATTCCGTGTAATAAAATGCCTAATGTTATTTTCTGTTTTCTTGACTGGGTCTTGCCTGAAGGACTCCCCACCTGCCCCGCTCTGCTTTTCATTTTTCTCTTTGTTCTACCCCCGCTGTCGGCACCAATAGATGGACCTTCCCAAGATAGTGTTTGATCCTGTCACGCCCTCATGAGGAAGATACCTTCTACTGTGTAACCCTCTCTACTGTCAACCCTGAATCCACCTCCAAATAGCTCTCTAACTATCCCTTACACCGAATCTGGACCCTACACTCCTACTCCCTTGCCCTTGGAGAAACCCTCAAAGGTAACTTCCTTCCAGGTCTCCCCGCCCAAGTCCAAATTCTCTGCCCGGCAAAGCTCCGTGTCCTTTCGCCACTGCCTCTGAAGGCCATCCTTCCCTCTTGCCTTTACCTGGGAGGCTCACTGCTGGTAGCCTTAGACTTGATGTCGGAGCCACCTTCTGGCGAGGCACTATTATCATCCCCACTTCCATCAAGGGGGAGTAAACTGTGGTACTTAGGGCACACCCCAGCTGTGCCACTTACTAGCTATGTGACCTTGAGTCAGCGATCTCCCTCTGAGCCTCAAGTTACCACTTCTGCACAAAGGGAAGAATAGCACCTGTCTCGTAGAATTGTTAGGAGGATTTAATGAGCTAATATGTGCAGTACCTGACATTTCTGAAGTTATATATATATTTTTTTAAGATTTTATTTATTTATTTGAGAGAGAGAGAATGAGAGATAGAGAGCACGAGAGGGAAGAGGGTCAGAGGGAGGAGCAGACTCCCTGCCAAGCAGGGAGCCCGATGTGGGACTCGATCCCGGGACTCCGGGATCATGACCTGAGCCGAAGGCAGTCGCTTAACCAACTGAGCCACCCAGGCGCCCTGAAGTTATATTTAAGTGATTTTTAAGTAAATAAAACAGATAAATGCCAAGGGTGCAGTCCCTCCTCATCTCCTCATCTGAGCCAGAACAATTAGCAGCTATGCCTTGAGGCATTTCTCTGGTATCTGGCACACAAAGGGCATTCTATCCGTGTTTTCGTTCGATTATAAATTATTCTGCAAATCTCAGCACTGCCACGAGTGTAGGGGCTGGCCTGGTTCATCCCTGTATTCCCGCTATACCTTGCATGGTGACTCACACAGAGCAGGTGCTCAATAAACATCTGTTGAATGAATGAGCACTTGAATTGAGTATCAGGTCCCTCGATGACCAGTTATAGGAGAGAAAAAAGACAGATAAACTCAATTTAAACAGTAGGCCTGGGAAGAGAAAGGGAAAATAAAACCAGTGAGGGGAGTGCGTGCGGGGGGGGGGTGGGGTGGAGAACGAGAACTTGGTGGGGGGGGGGGGGGGGGTAGGAACCTGATTCATTGTGCTGAGGTCTTTTTGGTTTCTGGAAACTTCCAAGAGGAAATGCCCTCAAGGCCCTGAAAGGAGGCTGCAGTTGAGGACTAGACTGGAGTTCAAGAATCACTTACTCAGGCAGTGGCTGAAATCAGGTGAAACAGTGCCTGAGGGAGTGCGCATAAAGAGGGGCAAAGCCTCTACACTTGAGGCTTGAGGCAAGTAGAGCTGGGGGGCTAAAAACAAAGCCCTGGAAATCAGCTCACCGGGGTCTGGATGCCAGCTCTGCTGCATCCAGCTGTGCGACCCAGGGCTAGTGTCTTAACCTCTCTGGGCCTCAGATGCCCCAGCTGTAAATGAGGATGACAGCAATACTGATCCAAGAGGGTTCTTGTGAGGATTCACTGAGATACCTGTGTTGAGGGTTCCTGTACAGTGTTGGCACATAGAAGGTGCTCGGTGAGTGAGTCCCATGATGGAAGTTGAATTAAGAGATAAGAGAAAGAAGAATAAGAGAAAGAACAGTTAAGAGAGAGAAGCGCACATAAGAAAACGTACAACTTCAGAAAATAAAAAACGCTCTCACCTTATCTGCAAGGAAACTGAGGCTCAGAGAAGTGCTGTGTCCAAGATGACAGAGCCGATCAGAGGAACAGCTGGATTACTTTTGTTACACAATACTACCTTCCCTGGGCTCTGGAAACTGGAGACCTCTCCTGAGAACGACTGATCTTTTTTTTTTTTTTTTTTGCTCCAGTATGATCTGAGTTACTATTGTCAGTCATCTTTCTGTGTGGCCCTTTTATTTTCAAATTAGAAAAGCCATTAAAAATAGCATCAGTTTCAGTCTGGATGAGCGGAAGCCAAAAAGGCATCTCTTTTTCCTCTATATAGTTTCTTACCATTTCTTTCCTGAGCTGGTCAGGGAACCCTGGAGAGAGCGCGGGGTTCAACGGTAACAGAAGTGAAGAGTTTTGGAGTTGGGCAGGTCAGGGGGCTGAAATCCTGCCTATGACTTTCCTTCGCTGGGTGGGGGGGGGGGTGACCTTGGACAAGAGTGCCTCAGTAGAGCAGAACAATACAGCACCTATTCCAGTGTGCTATGGTGAGGGGACTGAATGAAGTACCCATGACTGGCATATGCACTAAGGACTCAATAAAGTACATCTATGTTCAGGGGCCCCAGGTCAAAACTCAGGCAAATATTTTCCTAAACGTGCAGGCAAATAAAGGGAACACCACAAATGTGAATGCCACATTGTCATGCATTCCACACACAGTTACTGAGCACCTCTTGGGTTCCAGATACTGTTCAGGATGCTTGAGATATAGGAGTCAACAAAACGAAGATTACTGCCTTTGGGGGATTCAATATTCATGTCCTCCTGAGTGTGAGGCGGCACAGTAACTCTGGCTCTTAAAGACAACACACATGGGCCTGTTGCAAACTCTGGCCAACTGTACATTACTGTCTCCAATCCCTGTTATCAGAGGGGGTGGGGTCAGGAAAAAAAAATCCCACAAGTAAAGACTTCCAAAGTCAGTGATACCTGACTTTGGGATACAGCACATGATTTACATGAAACACTTATGGTGTGTTTAGCCTGACTTTTTTTTTTTTTTTTTAACGAGTCTATTCCTCCTGAACACAGCTCAAAAACTGGTGAAGGTGGTCTCAGAGTATGGCAGGGAGTGGGGAAGTCAGGGGGAGCTACAAATGTGCTCTGGAAGATAATTCTCCCACCCTAATGGAGTTTACTCTACCAGTAATTACATTAACTCGCTTTTGGAAGAGACGAAAAAGGGAAAGAGGGTAGGCAATTTAGGAGAACAAAAGCTCTCAATAACTTACGAAGTCTCTGGACTCCGGAGAATGTAAATTTCAAACTCACCTGCCAGGATGCATTTGGCCGCCAGCTTCACCATGGTAACCAACCACCTCCGCGGACGAGAGAAGGGAAGAGCGGCTGCTAGAGGCGTTGGGGGGCTTGCCTGGGAAGGTAAGTGGGGAGAGGAGAGGCTCAAGGGGCCTGTGGCCGCGGTCGGAACAGGGACAATGGGGCCCGGACCTGCTGGGCTGGGCTGGGGGCGGCTATCGGGCGCTAGGACTGGGGCGGGGGCGCGGAGGAGCGCCAGATGGGGCTCGGCTCAAGGCCTCAGAAGACGGCCTTGGAGGTGCGAGCGAGGCGACGCGGCTCCCGTTCCCAGCCCAGCCTCGGCAGTGGGACCGAGAAGTGTGACCCCGCAAGCCTGCAGCCCCAACCCAAACACAGTGCCAGAGGCGCTCCCGCTCACCCTGCGCCCGCCTGCCCCGCCTCCTCCTCCTCCCCGCTGACCCGCGATTGGCTGCCACCAAAAGCTCCCGCCCCGAAGGCTCTCGGAGGCCAGTGGGAGGAGGGGGCGGCGCTAACAGGCCTCCCTTGACGGACAGTTCTTAGTGGTATTTGCGCTTCAAGCTCATCCCGCTTGACGAATGGTTACGCGAGATGTCAATCATTACTACTCCCGCCCCCGGGCCGCCGGAAAGTTCGCGGGAATGAAGCTCCAGTCTCGGTAACCAGAAGCAGTGATAAGAGAAGCTTTCTGATTGGCCAGAAGTTGGCTTGGACCATCTGCGGGTGGAAGGGGGATTCGCCGTTCCCCCCCGCCGTTTCGGAAGTGAGTTCGCCCACGAGGGGCCGGTCTGGCGCGCGGGAATTTGCAGCGGCGCCTGCGCAGTAACGAGGCCGCAGTTGCCGACACGGATCTGTGAGCCGGTTACTTCGCAGAGAGTCTTGTGGCTCAAGTTCGCGGGCACCTGGGAGCAAAGCCGCGTTGGTGCATCAAGAAATCCGGTTCCTGCCCCACATCCCGCAGGGAAGTCCGATTTTTTAAAAAGCCCAACGACATTATGCGCTGTAAGATCTAAAATAGGACCGTGTTTATAGTGATGTCTGTGAACGAAAGGGAGAGCAAGTAAACTTTGCCCCGGGCGAGGGTTGCTCTCCGGAATGTGAAGTCCTCCTTTCCGCTGAGCCCACTTCCTCGCTTGTACGATGGAGAACGTGTGACACCCCCTCCTCCCCCGCCCCCCGCCCTCCGCCCTACTGAATGAAAGCGGGCCTCCAGGACTTTGCCCGTCGCTCAGGAAGGCTGCGCCCATCTCCGCCCACTTGCCAGGGAGGTCCCTCTTGCTGGGCGGTCAGAAAACCAGGCTGAAATCCCCACCGTCTTGGCCTGGCGCGTCGCCTCACCCTGAGCCTCTTTGCTCATATTTGAAGATCGGCCAGCAGAACCCGCCTCTGGGGTTGTCCTGAGGAGTACAAGAGGGGAAAGATGTAGGGGCCCCGGGCACAGTAGGTTCTCAACAGTGATTGTCGAATGGATGAAAGAAGAAATTTATCTGGACAGATTTGGCTTATCACCATCACGGTGATGACATCATGGCCAGATGCGCCCCCGAGGTCACTCCTGCTGACCCCCTCTAGGGTGGCTGGCGCTGAGAGGGAAGAGTAGGCCCTGGGCGAAGGTTCTTGTGCCGGGGGTTCCCATCACGAAACGCTCCTTCACCAGGCGTTTCTCTCAGCTGCTCTGTGACTTCGTGTGGCTGCCAGCCACGTGCAGGGCAGTGAACACACGCACACTCATCAAATTGCTAAGAACTTTTCAGTCCCGATTCTGGAGTGAAACAATGCAAGTTGCCTGGAATTTTCTTTCCTTAGGAATCATTCCTGGTATTATGGTTGAGGCCTCTCTGCCTCTCCTTCGTTCTTTTTAACCTGCTTTTCTTTTTTGAGGACATCATGCACAGCTGAATCAGGCACCTCAGGCCTCTGTGAGTCAGAATGCCTCTGCCTGGTCTTCCTGCTCCCCCTTCAGGCTGTCCTGTCCATCGTCACTCCGCTAATCCCTTCGAGGACCCCTTGAGTGAGTCCCCTCCCGAGGCAGCTGCATGGAGCTGAGACACTGAGCTACATCTGAGGGGAGGCTTCTGGAGCCCCCATTTCCTCGAAGGGGGTAATGGCACCTCCCTCATAGGCTGTTGTCCTCCGCACCACATCCACTCTCCCTCTGGTTGCCACTCTGTGATTTGGGTCAGCATTTTGGATTTTTCCGGTGAGATGCTAAACTGTGTATAATGAATTCTACCCTGCTTACTCCACAATCCCCAGGGCCTTCTGTATATTCTTAATGACTAATGACAGCTGCCTGACCGTCCCTGGTTTTAAAGAGGTCAGAGAGCTTTGGAGCCATAAGGGCCCTTGAGAAATTCTAGTCTGACCCCTCCCTGAGCTGCTGTAGTGGCTAAAGCTGGCATATGTTGAGCACATTATGAATACTGGCCTCATCCTGAGCACCGTAAAGGCTTAATTAATTTTCTTTTCATGTTCGTATGTGATATTCATAATAACCCCTGTGAGGCTTGTATCATCCCTGTTTGATAGATGGGGAAACTGAGGCCCAAATGAGGAAAAGGCTGACACCCAGAGTCACAAAGCTAGTGAATGGCGGAACTAGGGATTGAACAAAAGGAGATTGTCAAGCCCGTGGTGTTGACAGGAACCTGTCCTTCCTCCGCTGTCTCTCACACTTCCTTCCATCCTAGAGAATAAATTTATTGAGTTCCTTGCAGTAATAGGTCATGTCAATTGAGCCTCATATGCCAGGCTTGTGCTAAACACTTCACATCCTCTCTCTTGTTGGCTGCAACGACTCTGAGAAGTGGAAACTGTCATTACTTCCGTTCAACAGGCAAGAATCTGAGGTTCATGGGCAGCCCAAGGTCCTGCGACATGTCAGCTGGAGTCAGAACGGACCTCAGGTCCTGTTCTTGGGACTGATGTCTTTTTCCATTTCCCGGTGCAATCTTCCCAGTTTCATTAATAAGCTTTCCTTGAGTGCCTGCCCTAGGCCAGGCCCTGGGCTGATGTTTGGGGCTACGAAGTGAGGGTGACAAGAGTCGCAGGTAACTGTCAGACCGTGGTCCCGTGGGAGTGCTGGCCAGTGTTGCAGGCCTGTTTTCTGGAGGAGGCCGGAATCTGGATTTTGTGTGAAATCCTCTGACTCTCAAATGATCTGCGCCTGCTTGTGGCGAGTGTTGAACGGGAAACGATTTGTTGAACGAAGAGAAAATACTCTTTGCTGTGGTTCCCGGACTAGCAACATCAGCCCCGCCCCCCAACAGGGACTTGCTGGAAATGCTCATTCCCAGGCCCCGCCCAAGCCAACTGAACACTGGGGGTAGGAACCACAGTCTGTATTCATAAGCCTTTTTGGTGATTTTGATGCATGCTATTGTTTGAGAATCTCTGCTCTTAGGTCATGGTAGGGCCCACCTTTATCCATTTTCTCTGTTTTACTGTTTCTCAAACTCCCCGAGACCCTTCCTAACACAGGGCCTTTGCAGTTACTATTCTCAACGTGGCTGCATGACTCTTTCCCTCGAACCTTCAGATCTTTTTCAAATGTCATCTCCTTGGAGAGGCCCTCCCCAAGCACCCAGTTTAAAGAATCACTCCCAATCTGTTGGTCTTAATCGCTTTGCCTTATTTTACTTTCTTCGTAGCACTCCCCACTACCCGATATTATATCCTGTACTAGTTATTTGTATAGTATCTGTCTCCCTCCACTAGGAGGTAAGCTTCATGAGGACAGGGACTTGGTCTCTTTTGTTCTCCCAAGATCTCTAACGGTGCCCGGCCTGGTGAGATACTTGGTAAATATTGCTGAGTGAAGGAAGGAGTCTTGTAGAGTTTACCTTTCGGGTCATTCATTTATTCATTCTACAAGTACTGATTCTTGAGTACCAATTCTTGTGCAGGCAACAGGCTTGTTGGCCGTGGCCATTCAGATGGGGACTGCCTGTGGCCTGGGTCCTCTGCTGCCTCCCACCCCCTCGTACATCAGCTCCAGATCTGTAGAACCTCCAGAGCCCACAGACTCAGAGGCTCTGTGGAATTGGAGGACTTAAATAGCACTGCTCCCCAAAGCCGGGGACTGGGCTGTTTGGGCTGATTTGGAAGTGAGGGTTTGGGGGGAGGCAGCTGCTGACAAGTTGTTCCCAGGGACTGTTCCATCATCCTGGGCTTGAATGCTTCCTGACAGCCCTGACAACACAGCGTGTGCCCAAGCTGCGGCTTGGTACCACAGACAGCTGCAATACTCCACGCACATGCCCGGGCCGATCGTGCCCACTGTGGCCGAGTCCTTCCACCATTGCTCCAGGGGGTTCTCCTCTGCTTAGGCAGCTCCTCAGAGCCCCCATCGCTTGTAGGGTGGATTATGAGCAGGATTGTTGGGTGCAAAACAACTCCTTTGGATAAATAAGAGGCTTTAGGGGAAATTCGTGGGGAAAACCTCTTGAGAGTTATTCAGCATGAAGCCTCGAGAAGAATATGTTTCATGCAATAAGGCCGATTTGCTCTAATGCCCTCATGTCGGGGGGGGGGGCAATGCAAAAGAGAGGACTAGTAGATTTGGGGGAATTTTATGTATTTTGATGAGGGCTTCTTCACCTTGGCGCTATTGACATTTTGGAGGATAATTCGCTGTTGTGGGGGGCTGTGCTGGGCATTACAGGTGTGTGGTAGCATCTTTGGCCTTTACCCACTAGACGCCAGAATCATCTCCCTCGTTGTGACAACCCCAAATGCCTGCAGATATTGCCAAATGTCCCCGGGCGGCCAAAATCATCCATGGATGAGGACCGCTGATGTGTGAACTCAATGAGTAAGGAGTATTGATTTTAAAACTGAAATTTGCAAGGGCCGGGACTCAGACTTTCGGTCTGGGTTCAAATCCTGCTTTGCTTCTTAGGTTCTGTTTTGTCATCCCTGCTCCTGTGGGTGCTGCACGGATCAGCCGAGTTAACTCCCAGAAGGGGTCTAGAACAGCGCCTGACAAGGAGTAGGATTCACTAAACACCAGCCCGTACTAACAGCGACCGGGATGCTGATGAATCCCCCTTAGGGTGATCTGTAATGCAGCCTCGGCGGCGTCTGTCTGACAGTTTCCTACGATGCACTGCGTCTCATCTGCCTCCTGGTGTGCTGCCTTCTCATGGTAATGACCTTTGCTGTTCGTTTCTCCGTTGTTCACGTGGGCCTGGCTGTTTATGCCTCCACTGATGCGATGCCTGGCGGTGGCCATCTCGATAAAGGGCAGAGGAAATGTGACGGACTCACCTCCTGTGCGCCTGGAATGCAAAGTGGAGCCTTGAGCTGTGTGGCCTCACAAGTGCACGGAGGCTGCGATGTCCTGATTCCATCAGCAGGGGGCAGCAGCAGCTGGGAAAATGCCTGTTGCAGGA